GGGGGGGGGGCGGCTCACTGCCCACCCTTCCCTGCAGGGCTGTGATAGTCTTCGGCCCCCAGGGTGCAGCCCTTGGTCTCGGGACCATCAGCCTCTCCTTCAGAGCTGTCTTCCCTGGCTCTGCTTGGAATCCCTTCCCTGTGGGCCCACCGCTTCCCATGGGAAGCACTCCTTCCCAGCCTTTCTTCCCAAACGTCCCGAATATTGCTTCCACCCACTCTTGCCCGGAGCTCCCCAGACCCCTGTGGTTTCCTCTGGTGGAGGACAGAACCCACAGGAGCCAGGATGCCAGGTCAGGGTGTCTGGAGGTGCTGGGGAAGGGGGAAAGGTGCTGCTTGAGGAGGTGAGCCCCATTTCAAGGGTGAGGTTATGTCCCCTAGCCCCAGCCACCCCTGCTGCCCTGGCCCCTTTGCCTGGGCTCGGGGTGGGCTCCCAGGGGCCTGAGAGACTGGGCTTCAGAGCAGAGAGAAGGAAGAGTAGCTGCGGGCCTGGCTGGAGAGCCGCCGGAGGCCCTGAGGTCCCGAGGAGGAGACACTTCTGGGGGCGCAGAGGCTGATCTCTCTTCTCCACACCCTGGCAAGTGACCGGTTCTGTCCAAGCTCCTTCCCTAACTTCAGTGGGGAAAAGCGTTGATGAAACAGGGCCTGTGCAGTGCTCTGCGTAGGCCTTGAACTCCAGGCAAGGCGTGGTCACATCCCTAAGGAAGGCCAGCAGGGGTGGGGCCAGAGGGAAACAGGCCAGGGGAGGGGTGGGTGCGGGGGGCAGGGAGGCCAGTGTGCAAGCAGCCAGGCTCCGGCAGCAGGCCTGAGTAGGCCAGCCGTGTGTCCAGCCACGTCTGAGCTCCTGCCTCACGGGTGAGGGAGGGTTTGCTTTGTGGTGATGGGGTTCGGTACACTTGTAGGAGTTGGGGGCTGAGCTGTTGGGAGAGTAGGCAGAATGTGCCCCCCTGGAGGCCGCTGAGATGGATGGGAGGCCGGACACAGCGGGCCTGGAGAGCAGGCACCCTGTGGCCCCAGGGCTCAGGTCTGGAGGCTGCTGCCAGAGGCTGGGCGGGGGCCGTGTGGCACAGGGGCAGCCTGGCCTGGGGTGGGGCCTCCACTTCCCACACACCCACCAACTTCCTGAGTGCCCTCTTCAGCTGGAGCCCTGGGCTTGCAGTCTCAGCCCTGCCCTGAGCCAGCCCTCAGCCAAGTGTGATCAAGGATGGGGCTGGGGAGAGCTGTGAGGGAAGGTCTGGGGAGGGGCCCCGTCTCCTGGCACTGGCTTGCTCTTCTGTGTATCCAGAGGCTTCTGTGAACATCTGTTTGCTGGGGCCCAGCTGTTAACCCAGGGCAGGTGGTCAGCAGCCTCTTCTCTCGGGGAGAGGGGACCCTCCAACTAAACCAGACCAGAAGCCTCCGGGGAATGATCCTTCGTGAGTCAGCATCAGGGGGGTAGGACAGGAGAACTGGGCCACGATGGACGCCAGGCTGAGGGTTCCCCAGGTCAGATGGGAGAGCCCTGGGGGGCCAGGCTTCTCTGGGGAGGAAGGCTCAGGCCGCTGGTCCTGAGTGGGAGCTGGCAACACCCACAGGGAACCAGTCTGCCTCTCCCCTCCCCTGCAGCCCCGGGAGGCTGGTCCCTGGCCCCGGAGGCTCGACCCCTCCCTGGCGGAGCAGTCTTCGGAGGACAAGTCCTCCTGTGGCTCCCATAGTCCTGGGGGCAGGACCTTCCCGCTGCCCCTTTGTCCACTCCTGTGTCCGTGGTCTGCACTCAGGCTGTTTCCCATGCTGACCCTCCCCCTGTGTCCCCGTGGTCAAGCTTGCGGGGTCACCTGCCCAGAGGCTCTGTCTGCCACCCTTCCCAAGTGTGTGATGCCCCTGGTCGCTCTCCACGCCGCCTGTGTGTCTTCTCCCTGAGTCCACGCAGCTCGTCCCCACTGTGCTCGCCACCAGGGCCCGGCCTTGTCGGCCCTGCCCTCTCCCGTCCCCATTCTTTTCTCACATTGTTCCCTCCTCC